GTAAAACGTGCGGGTCCGTCGTTTCCATCAGACGTTATCGATTGTGTGTGTGTGTGTGTGTGTGTGTGTGTGCGTGCGTGCGTGCGTGCGTGTGTGCACTTCTGTGCTATGGTGTAGGTTATACTTGCATTGGATTATGTTGTAGGAATAGTAATGTGTCTGGGACAGTTTCTATTTATGGTGGCAGGGGAGGAAGGCAAGCAGACAAATAGATAAGTTGATATAGGGCATGGTGGGTTGAAGGTACACACACACACACACGCACACACACACACACATTAATTTACATATTCTTGTGAGTCACTTTGTTGGGAGTGAAAATGTTCCTATTGCTAGACATCATGCAACACAACAGTGATTCATTGACATTATTTCGTTTTTGATGAAGTGATACTTTCATATTGTTGTTTATGTTTGCAGACAGCTGGTCTTTTTGGTTATTTGGGGAAATTATGGGATTTGGGGTATGTATTGCCTGCATGTGAAGTGATTCCACCAGTAACAACAACAGTTTGTTTGAAGAAGAACTCAATACAAACAACATAAAAATTCAAATGAAAATTATAGTGCAAATACACACACAATGTCATCTTAGCAAACAAGGTAACAGGATTACAATTTTAATCCTTTAATGTGTTTGTGTGTTCATTTTCATATTTCATATTTATGTCAGATTAAGGTTTATATGTCCTAGCAGTGGGTACCTGCTCATTACAGATGAACCCAGTCAACATTTTTACATTGTAACTGAGCTTTGTTTTAAGCACGTCCTGACATAAAGAGGCTTCATCCTTGCTTCAAACACTCCTACCTGTCCTGACTGATAGCCTGTGAGCTTTAATCTGTAACACAACAGTGGAGGTGACTGTTAATAGAAGTCCACTGGGATCCACAGTCAGGGAGACAGTATAATGACCCTCTGGCCTCCAGAGTCACAGCTCAGCTGTTGGAAGATAAAGGTGCTGTTTATCAGTCACTCATTGTCTGTCTGAGTGACGGCTCAAGTAATTGCTGGCTGCACTGACACTGGTATTGTAGCATTTAGGCAGGACATGCAGCTTGATAGTGTTAGCATGCATTTGCTGGCAATAAATTCCATCTTTATTATAGCATTCTGCTGACTGTCTGTATGCTGTATGTTGTTTATGGTCTTGTATAGAAAACAAATGGTGTTCCAGATACCCAGTGAATGTAGATATGTTGTTTGCTTGCCTTGTGCAGACAGTGTGAGTCACCAAGAGACCTAAACCAAACTTTGTTGCTTTCTTGGGCTGCAACAATAATGCCATGATGAACCTTTTCCTAGAAGCCAAACTAACTTGTCTCCCAGGCTGCTAATCAGGGCTGGCCTGGGGCATGGGCAAATTAGGCAATTGCCTGGGGCCTCTATATTTCAGGGGAGGGCCCCCAGGTGCAAAGGTTTTTTCTTTGTTAAGTTTCTGTGGCTGCATTCAACTATTATCATTAATTTTTGAGTAGACGGCGAATGTTAGTTAACATTACAATTTGTTACATCATTCAGTCCAGTATTCTGAAAAGGGCTTTTTTGGAAGATTAGAAACTTGTACCAAACATCACTGCAGTTACAGTGTATAAAATATCTGGAAAACTTTCAGACAAATACAGATTTAGAAGAGGGTATTGCTGTCTTTGTTTATGCAATGTAAATGGTTCCTTCCCCTGAAGGAAGCAGGGCTTATGTATTCTCTCATTGTACCTCAGTGGGCACCTAGCATTATACACAATTTCAGCACCATGGACAGTGACACCAGCTTCTTGGTTAGAAATCTTGGCGTCTTCGGACATTCAATGAGTATTTGTGTGTCATCTCTAGAACAGACAGTATTAGTAAAACATCAATTATAAACATATTTTTCCTACTACAGAATATTTGTGTGTTCTGACACTGCTGCTTCAGGTTTCCATTTCCATAATGGTATTGTCAGTATAAAAGTGGGAATAGACTTTGATTTGTGACCCTACAGGATTATTGTCTTTAAAAATAGAGTATAATAGATAACGGAAAATTATCAGTATCTTCCAATTCTTTTTGTTGGAAAATCTTTGGAATGATTGTTTTATTTATTTATTTATTTATTGTTATTAGTTTGTCTTTCCCTCTGTTGCATCCTCCCTTTCTACTTGCTGTTTGAAATACTCATGTAACATGTGCATACGCATGTTAATTCTAATGGTCAGTTTTAGTGGGGCAGACTGATGGCAATTAAATTGTTTGTCCATCTGTCCAAACAACACATTTGTTCAAAGCATGCTATCTCAACACAGTTGGCCAGTTCCATGAAATTTGGTGTGGATATTCATGAATTCCTGGAAGACAATTTCTTTTTTCTATTTTTCAGTGCTAAATGTCAAATTTTCTAAATGACCACAGTGCCATGACAAAGTATCTTGTGAATGGCCAAATTTCCATTCCATGATATAATAATATGCACAACACTAATATGTATTAAATATACTAATATTAATACATATTAATTAATAATATTAATTCTCTTGTTCTTTGACATGGCATCTGTGTTCTGATAGGAGCTTTCCTTAAAAATAACATACATCAATTTAACTCAACCAATTTTTAAAGGACTTTGGGCAAAAGCCAGTTGAATTAATGTAAATAAATAAAACGTAGGTCTTGGCCGTGCTGTATGATTTTAGAAAGTAATGGTGAGTAGTGGACAATGTACTGTAGAAGAGCAAAATGATGGGGATTCCTGCTGAGGGAGCATCAAGGGAGACTGTTAACAGGGATGGTTCACAGCAGCTGCATCCTGTGTGGACAACCCAACAATTATTTTAATAAATGATGTTTATTATACATTCTACTAAACCTTGAAAACAGTTTGCATATTTTTCATCACTTCTCCAGGCCTTTACTGTGTTGTAATCAAGGTCCAAAATGATATTTATCCTGTTAAAAAGCTGTAACAAAATAAAATATAAAGGTGAGTTATAAATCATTTTCTAAATTAAATACTGTTTGCATCTTTTCATTTATTTTATTTTCCTTAACACTGTTCTGTCCTGTATCCATCAATGCTTTCCTTTGTAAATAAGCAAAAAAATAAAGTCACAATACATTTCCTCGCTGTTCATGCTCATAAAAACACTAGAGACTTAAATACAGTATTTGCATTAACATTAAACGTTCCATTTGAGAATATAAACTTACAGTTGAAATGTTTAATTCAGAATTTGATTCCTTATTTCTCAAATTTGTTTATGCAAGGATTGATAAACTGTACATATTTAAATCTTTACGCCCCTGTCATTCATACATGTAACTGCAAAACAGTTTCATTTACATTTAAGAAAATGTCTTTGACACAGAAAACACAATTAGGATACAGACAAGAATAAAAACTTGTATACCTGTGTATAGGTTCATGCTCTGTTCACAACAACCAATACCACTGCATGCCAAATTGATTTTTTCAGGGCTAACAATCACTTTAAATCCACTTACCAGAACACCTTCAGTTGCCATGCATCTTTGAATCGAAAATTGACACAACTTGTTGCTCCAGATACTGAAACACAGATGCAGCTTCCCCTTTGTAATGATGACTTAAGGCTTGTAAATTACAAACAGTACACAAGCCCATACTATTCCAGATCCTTAAAAGACAAAAAAAAATGATGACATTGTTGTTCTTACCACCTCACTTCAGAAGTAAATAATCATCACAACATTTTCGACATACGCAATTGTGTGAAAAGTGGCAGCTGTAATTGACCAATTCAGCACCTGTGTGATGTGTCTCTATACGCAGCATGGAGAATCAGAAAAATAAGACTAAATTTGAACAGCGGGTCATCCAAGGGCATGACACAATACTGATTAAAGTGGTTAACAGTACACATGTATATGGGAATTCATGGCATAGCACTTATTTGTAGGCAAAAAGTGACAAAAGTGGTTGTCGGAGGAATGAAAAGGTTAGAGAGAAAGGTTGAAATCCTGCGAACTTTCTCAACTGCACACACCTGGCCAATTACTGTGGGTGTGAATATCAGATTGTCAGTTTCAGAAAGTTATATATATATATATATAAACTTCCCTCCTCACCCTCCTTTGGGGGTGGTATCTGTGTCATCCTCAAGCATCGCGTCCGGCTAAGCATCATACACCCTTGCTATGATGTGCTGGATGTGGCCTCAGGGGCATCCTTTGCATAGTCTGCACTTGTGGTCAAGATCTAGCTCTTGTAGATCTTGGCCCTCTATGGCTCTTGGTACCTGAGGGCCTGTTCTTGGTGCTGCATAATCAGTGACTCCTGGTGCCTGTCTCGGTGAGTCCCAGCCTTTCCACAGCCATTGGTAGTGGTCTTCCTTCGATATCAGCCCACTTGTCCCTCCACAGGTTGTCCGCTCCTTCCTTCCTCCCACTCTTATTGGGTTCCCTGTTGCCTGAGACATTCGCCTAGCCAGTTCATCCTTTTGCGTGGCCATTTTTTCCCTGATGTAACTCTTGGACTTTTTGATTTTTCACCTGGGATATGCCCTGATTGCTCACTAGTCCTCAGGCCTCCCTGTTTTCCGCTTGCCGACAGTCTCAGGGTGCTGGATTTGGGTGACCTCCCCATACATGGTGAGGCTTCTTTGTCTTGATATCTTGTGGGCTTCTATCTCCTCCTTTGCCAGCTTAATGACTCCAGCAGGGTACTCTGATGACTGGTAGTGCCGTACATGTTTGATGGCTTTGGACTTGTTCCTGCATTCAGCGACTTTCAGGACCTTGCCCTTTAACTCTCGGAGTATTATGGTTGTGGGTTGACCTCCTTGCGCAGCTTCCTCATGGTTCCGTAGCCTGTTCCAAGGTAATTTGTAGCCTTGTCTTTTGGTATCACCTATTTGCCTCTGGTTAGGTACCCCTTTGTTCCTGATCATCTTGCCTCTCTTTGAGACTATCCGGGCCCGGCACCTTGTCCCCAATCCGAAAATGACATCCCAGAGTATGTCGTTGCCTGTAGATCTGGTGGTGTGGATCCAGTGAGTCCGATTTCTCCGCTCATTCCTGGCGACAGCTTGATGTCCATCCATTAAGAGCAGGTGCTAATTGTTACTCCACTTCGGAATTCTGACTCCGTAAAACCAGTCTTCTGTAATGATCTGACTGAAGGGGGTTCAGGCCTATGCAGAACAGCAATGGGGTGATAGCGCATCTTCCCTGGTATAGCCGCCATTTGATGTTGACTTGGGCAATTGGCTTTTGAGTCGGCTTCTAGGGTTGTCCTTCCACATTCCCCATCGAGTTCTGGATGAAGGCCCCTAGGTTCCTTGTTGATCTTTATACCAGTTCCAGACCATTCCAGTATCCACCGTGTGGGGCTTGGATCCCGTAAGCTTCTTTGAAGTCGATCCAAGGCGGTACACTGGTTGGTGCCTTCCCTGCTCTTACCAGTCTTGGGCGATGTTCCTATCGACCAGTAGCTGGTGCTTGGCTCCTCTGGTGTTGCCTACCAATTCCCCTTCTGAGCCCCTCTCAATGTATTGAGCATACGTGCTTACTCATCTTAGCCGCCGCATGATGCCTTGACAGGGCCTTCCACTGTTGTGGAGAGACAGGTTATTGGCCAGTAGTTGGATGGGATGGGTCCTTCTTCAGGGTCCTTCCAGGATTAGGACCGTCCTGCCTGCTGGTTAGCCACTCTGGGTGGGACCCATCCCTTAGCAGCTGGTTCATCCCTGTGCTGCTAGGTGTCATGGAGTGCTGTTAGCTTCTTCAGCCAGTAGGCATGGATCATATCGGGGCCTGGTGCCGTCCAGCTCTTCATCTTTGACACTCTTTCTTGGATGTCTGCCATTGAGATGGTTACTGGTTCTTGTTCTGGGAGGTTGCTGTGGTCTGCTCTTAGGTCCACTAGCCATTGGGCATCTGGGTTGTGTGATGCCTCTTTTTCCCATATGGCCTTCCAGTATTCTTCCACCTCAGCTCTTGGTGGGTCTGACCTGCTGTTATTTCCTCCCTGCCACTGAGAGTACACCTTGGCTGGTTCAGTGGAGAACAGCTTGTTTATTCTCCTGGCCTCTGCCTCCTTGGTGTATCTCTTCAACCGGGTGGCCAGTGCTGTTAGTCTCTGTTTGGCAGTTTCGAGTGCTTCAGGTATGGAGAGCTTGGTGTATTTCCTTGGTGCCCCTTTATTCACCATGTTGCCCCTCTGTAGCTCTGCTAGCTGGCTAACTTCTCTCCGTGTTGCCCTTATCTTGGCCTCTAATCTAATTCTCCCACGGTGAATGCTGCCCTGTTTAAGGTTTGCTCCCATCCTGTATCCAAGCATTTCTAGGATTACTGTTGCTGTACTGTGTATCAGCTTATTAGTCTCAGTGATGGTTCCCGTAGGGATTGTTGGCATTGTTCTTAGTGCAGCAGCATAATAGCATATATATATATATATCATAATGTGCTTGATTTAATGTCAGTGGGTATTTTCAGACATACTTTAATTAAAAAAACAAACACTTGATGATCAAAATGATTAAACAATAATTTGGCGGCGCTCCCTGCAGTAATACGACCCCCTGTTGAAAACACTGTATATTACAGTGTATATCATTTGTTTCCCACCTGCATGTGGATCTGATTTGATTCTTATCAACTCAAAATATACTTTAAAAGATCTTTATTGTTTTTTTTGCAAAACTGATAAATAATTAGACTGATTTTGAGAAGGCCCTACTGACTGAGAAGTCATCTGGACTGCTTGTAACTTTCCTAGTGCAGCTTTGACACCAAAGCACTGTAGTACCATTGCAGCTGTTGATAATATCGAAGGACGCTCTATTCTTTAATATTATGGAAAGCCATTGTCATGGAGTTTAAAGAGAAATCTTCACACAGAATACATGTGTGCAAGAATAAAAACACTGACCTGACCTAGAAAACACTGAATTGTGTATTTCTGTGTGTGTTTCAGATCCTGGCGTGTGTGTTTGTGTTTGAGATGCAGAAGGGCTTCTGTTGGGTGATTCAGCTCTTCAGCCTGGTTTGTACAGTCAAAGGATACTATGACCGTAAGTGCTTCAATAATAATAATAATACACCAAAACACTGGCCGCATTTGGAATAGTATCTATATAATTTAAGGAAATATAATGTATTATAGCGTTTCTACCGTTTATCTTGGGATCTTTGACTTATGAAGTGATTTTTAACAGTATAAGAAATAACAAAAATGTCAACATTAGGTGGCTTTTTTTATTTATAGTAATGACTGTGTGTTCAAGTGTTGCAGGATTCCTTTTATCTTACGATGTGTCATTGTGTGTGTGTTTTCTTCCCCTGGCAGCAAAAGCAGTGAGTGACAAGACCTGCAGCCTCCCAGTAGAGGAGGCCGGGATCATCTGGGACAGTATCTGTTTTCTCTGCCTGCTGCTGCAGAGGAGGGTCTTCCTCAGTTTCTACTTCCTGCATGTGGTGGCAGAGCTGCAGGCTTCTGCCAAACAGGCCTCTAGGTAGGACACAACATACAGATTACTGACTGGATGAAAGAGCTAAGGCAATGCTTCCAATGCTAGGGGTCACCACATTATTAAAGCTGCAGTAGGTAACTTTTAGAAAAAAATACTTTTTGTCATATATGCTGAAACTTTCACTATATCCTGACAGTAGAACATGAGACAGATAATGTCTGAAATAATCAGGTTCCTCCTAGTGCTCCTAATTATTTGCAAGAATACACTGGGCCTGAATGAAAACAACCAATCAGAGCCAAGAAAGGCAGTTCTGTGTTGTTGAGTCTCATTCCCAGGTCGTCAAATAAAGACGCTGTGAATGAGACTCAACAATCAGGTATCTTCAAGCCACCAACCTAAAGTGTTTTTTCATCTTTCATGGCTCTGATTGGTTTAGAGGAAAAAAAAAATATGTCTCTGTTACAAATAATTATATTTATTTAAAAATACTGACAAATCTTTGATGAGACATCACAAATGTACAATACATATAGACATGACATTTTAATGTGTGTCACAAGCCAAAACTTTCAGCAGATGTTGGCCCTGAGATACAGATGTAGCACAAGACCCCAAACACAGAGACTCCTATAATCAATTAGACATACTTTCTTTGTTAATTGAAAAGAAGCTGCTGTAGATAATAGCTCCACAGTTACTTCCAACTGGCAGTTACTTTCTGGCAAATTAACTGACTTCCGTTTCTTTCTTTCAGGGGGTTCGAGCTCTTCAAAGCCAGTATTGTGAAGAACATCAAGTTCCACCAACAAGCTGAGAAGAAATCTCTGTCACAGCTCAAGAGATCGTAAGTGTTCACAACTAAAGTTTGCTTTCGTGAGTAGCATTTTAGTTATGCATCAGAGAACAAGTAGAAATAGAAAGCCCAATTATGAAATTCTTAACTATTGAGTGTTGCACCTCGAGTTGGCCTCCAAGGATAAATTGGTTCGGAACCTTTTCTTGGGAACCAAAGTGGGGGCATGTCATATTCTACAGATCGGTGTGCATTGTGCAGCGCCCTCTGTTGATGATCAGAATACAGTGGTTCCACTCAACAGTGGTGGAAACGCGAGCTGGTTTGCTAGATATTGCCGGTGCCAGAATCAGAACTAATTTGGTGGAAAAGGGCCCTCAGTGCCCTCGACCAAAGCACTGGCTCACATCTGGAGTTGTTCCCCAGGCGCTGCATGGTGGCTTCCCACTGCTCCTAGTGCTTAGGATGATTCCAAATACTGAGAAATTAATTTTCCCTGGGGGGGGTTCAATAAAGAAACTTAAAGGGGAACTTGGCCAACTCTAGCCATTTCTTGTGTTTTCACTTTTGTCATGCATGTTTTCTCAACGAGCCTCCCCTACAGCTCTGGACGTGTTTTCAAGCAAACCGTCGTAAAAAAAAACTCACTTGCGGCAGCCCCCTCCTCCCCGTTTCTAACCGCTTGCGTGATGTGGCCCTTTTTTCGCCGGCAAAACCTTTTTCGTGTGGGAGCAAATCTACCGAGGTGGTAAATACATTATACACTAAACCGTTATTGAGGGCCCGGCGTGTGCGTTTATGTGGAATTGCCGTAACAAGCCCGTTCGTGTTTCTTCGGCTCCCCCATGTCTCGCGTTCTCAACGACACTTCCTATTTTCCAATTTTCCGGGACGGCCAGTCCCAAAGTTGCAAGGTTGGTTTTCAGCCCTGGGTCCGCCTGAGGGGGGTGGGGTCACCATTTTCACCGGACAGGCCAATTTAACCCATCCAAATTGATTTCTAAACAGGGTTTATTAAGCTGAGAAAAGTTGCCAAGTTCCCCTTTAACTTGTTGTTATTTTGGGTGTTTGGTGAAAGATCCCAACAACTATTGGATGGTTTGCCATTATATCCATGGTGAAATATCTTTAAGTCTACTTAACTAGCACAACATTTTGCCAAGTTTGGTGATCCTCTGACTAAACACCTGCAAAACTAATGACTAATGACCTTCAAACATGGTGTATACCACTGAATCAAAACATTTTTCCAAATTAAATTTGTGTGCCGAATCTAGCACCTAAGCTCTTTGTATGTATGTGTATGTATCTTAATATACAGTAGGCAAAAGATCTAGCAGGTAGATGCTAGAATACATAGAGCATGGCTTCAAAAGAGAGTTTAAGTTCCATTCTTCTGTCTCCTTTCCTTGCTGTTCCTGTCCTCTTCTCTCAGGATGCAGAGAATTCGCTCCAAGCAGCAGAAGTGCAGAGATGGACACAAAACAAGTGGAGATTCCAACGAGAGTCAGACTGTCGGTAGGACTCGCTGCTTCACTGTTTGACTGTAAAAACGTTCTGCAAACTGCTAAAACCAGTCAGTAAACAACTGCCATATTTGCTATGTCCCTGTCAGTAACATGGTTGTCAACTTGTTTTTAGCCCGTAGGGTAATCAGTCTTATTTTGAAGAAGCAGTAAGATGCATCATTCGCTAGGTTTCATTTTATTGTCATCACTGTTAGTCCACTGACTGTGGGCCTAAAAGTGGTGATGTCATCAGTCTGTCCAGGAGGTTTCAGAGGACATATTGTCATTTTACAGCTTTAGTTACTTTGCAGAATATTTTACGCTAAACACAACATAAGCTCATGAATACTGGAGAGGTTTTCATGTGACAATAAATTAAACTATGTACATTCATATGCAGATAACTGTTTATAGACATTAGCCAAAATGTCTTTCTCATCAGTCTTGCGTATAAAGTTGCTAATCGGACTGCAGAGGAAGTCTTCGCCCTGATATCTGTTATCTGGTTCTGCTGGTCACACCTGACGCCCTGAAACATTGGCTGTTACCTCCAGGCAAATTGTCTTCAGTCGATAGCCACTGGGCTCCGTGATTGCCTATAGCCCTGACATATTGTTTTGTTTTATTGTAAAGCACATTGTAACTTTGTTTTTTAAAAGGTGTTATATAAATTAAGTTATTTTATTATCACCCGAGTTATATTATTAAGTTGTTCTTAATAATCTTACTGGCAATAGGCCATGAAATCTGCTAAAAGATAAATGCATTTAATTTTAATAACCCCATGACCTTCTCTAGCGCCACCCTCAGGTTACAATCATATTTTAATTCCACTAGTAGTAAAACTCCAAGATTAGTAAAACCATCTGTATGTTTATGTTGTGCAGCACTTCCTCCAACCAAAAACTTGTTTCCTTACAGAGACCCAGACAGACAAGAAAAAGTCGAGGAAGAAAAAGTGGCACCAGCCGTGGTTGGACCATGCTACAGGTACGGGTTTATGGTATTTATCTTGGATTACCACAAGGGAGAGTGAAGTGTGAGGCAGTTCTGAAGTAATTTCCCCACGGGGATTATTAAAGTATTTCTGATTCTGATTCTGATTCTGATTCTATACATAATCTCCATATAGCGAGGTAAACAAGATTGTAACGTGTTTCTTCTGCTCACAGTGCTCCACTCAGGAGAGTACTACCTGTTTGAATCAGACAGTGAGGATGAAGAGGAGCTACAGTCTGAAGAACAGAAGCCTCAGAAACAGACTGCCTGTCAGGTCAGACACACAACTCATTCACAAAGTATATCCATATACCTTCTTTTTTTCAACGGGAGTCTTATATTAGCTGTGTTTACGTCAATGTATATATATATATATATATATTGACATTTGGAAGTATCACATTAGAAAAGATTGATTGAAAAACTTTTGCTCTCGCTTGAGGTCGTTTTCCAAAAGAGTTAATGCTCTTAATACAAGATGTAAACACTTTCTCTGAATAAGTTCTCACGTAGAGAACATTTAACTTACATGACTGAAGAGCTGTTTCCGCTCTTACAGTCTCCTCATCACTCCTATGGCTCTATAATACAGCCATGATCAGTGCACACAGATCTCATGGAACCTTGCTCACAGTAATATGTTAAGCAAACGTCAGTGTCATATTTTCATCCTGTTTTCTGCATTATTTTTCACTCCTCTATTAATTACGCCCTCTTTATCTGGTTTTCTGTCTGGGGAATTTACCCTTCCCAAGTCCCGCCCCTTTTTGCTGTGTCCTCCACAACAGTTGAGCAGGCCTCCGTGAGAACAACTTTCTCCTTTCCTGTATTGGTGCTAGGCTAATCCATGTTGAAAAGACAACATTTTGAAGATGGTTAAAAGATAAAAGCAACATAAAG